ATCTGATAAATGGGGTCTTTATGTTATCCCTGTTCTCTCTTGTGAAAATTCCTTACAAGCTACCTCAGAGTTGGCCAATCTGGACAAGGTGGCCACATCCACACCTGATGAAGGATGAACTGAGATTTTAACCTCATTCAGATCAATAATCCTCGGAAAAGTTATGATCTTCAACACGTGAAAAAGGGACCTGCTATGCTTCCTGAATGATGCTGTAATTCCTTTGAGGAACAGGACATTGAGCAGAAACAAGTTTTCAAGTTATCACATGGGAGTATGTCACAAAGTTGTGGAAATAAACCAAACAGTATAATCCAAAGAACAAACACATCCCAAAATCTTCCAAGAGAATCAAATAAGAACAATGTTCCTTATAAAGCAGCACAAACAGTTTGTCACTCCTGAGAATGTGCCTCCCATTCTTCCAACCACAGGGATTGTAATGGAAGAAGGGAACAACTCTGAAAACATTCACCTTGTGTGTGCTGAAATCCCAAGGCTAGAGGGCTACCCACACCCAAGTTTTAGGAGCAGCAGCAATATTAAATCAGGCCCATTCTGGATGGACACAGGTTCCTCTGAATGGCACCTTTACATTGAAGACCTGGATGGACTCCCTGAACCCACTTTCGACTGCACAGTAGTTTATGAATGTCACACCAGCCCTTCCTCCACCTCTTCCAAAGACAGGATTCACATACTACCTTCCAGCTCCACAGTCTTCCTGGCTGCTTGAACAATTTCTCTTAGAAAGATCAGCAAAAGCCCGGTCCCCATGAGGCAGAGGTTAAAGAAGCCCCAATGTCCAAATTCCTGTGCCACTCCACCATTTCACACATTAACTCCTCCTCCTCCTCCCAGGAATCTCCCCCATCTTAGGGTTCTGTATTTCACTGTAACACACACAGAACTCACAGACACACAAGGCATCGTCTAGCATTGTAGTGGTGGAGGCTGGCAGGTGGCTAGTCCAGGTCTGTGAGTGGGTCTGGAGGATCTTCCCGATTCTCGGGGTTTGATGAACCCCGATCAGCAGATCATATGATGGCTTCTGTCCCCAATCCAGGGGTGAGATGAGGATGAGCCAAAGCACAAAGCCAGAGCAAGTGGAGGGTGAACCTTCCCAGGAGATTCGTAGGTATACCCTCAAGAAAGCTAAATGTGGGGATTTGAGTCATACCCTCCATCAAGGCACGACTCAAGATCTACCCTTTCTGTGTTGCTCCAACAGAAATAACCCAAGTGGATGGCTTTAACAATCAGCAACTACTCAGTTGCTGAAGGCAAACCCCACCACAGAGCTGATCACCAGTCATTATAGGGAAGACTACTACCAT